TCCTCTGGCTCATGTAAAGTAACATGGGTTGCTTTTAATAAGGATTCACATTCCAGTATAATTACCTGCTCCAGATCCGTGTGACTGAGGTATTTTACGCAGACCAAAATATTCGACAGTTTGCTGTGAAGTGTCAAGAGCATGGCAGTTCTAGCACGGAAAAGAAACCTTTAGAATTGTAGACGTCCACATATCGAACCTCAGCCTGGCAAAACTGTGCTATTTTTCATGAAATTATTCAATGAAGCAACTGCGGTTAGAATCTTAAGACGGCCTTTCACTAATTGAGGAATTACAAGCACAAAAATAAAACCCAAATAAGGGGAACTTGGAAAATATTGATACATTAAGGAATTTTTCTGTTTATGCAAGGAAAATTAGTTTTTCTGAGAATTAATGGGTCTGGAACGGGGCCCACTCAGCCTCGTGACGATAATTGAGGAGCTTTTTCAAGGAAATAGCGGCTCCGGTCTAGAAAACCGAAATTAACGCCCGTGGGGATCCGTTGCGCTGACCACGCGATACCCCATATCCTCAAAAGTTGGCACTAACTTCGCCGACAAGCGGCAGTAGCTGGGTCGGTATAGTTCTCTTGCGGACTACAGGCCAAGGAGTTTATTTTTTATGCAAGAAAAACTACAATGTCCTCTTCCTCATAACAGTTACATGCGCACTGAACATAGCCTTACTCATTAACAGATTCTTTGGCTTGGCTTCATGTAATATTAGCAAAATATTGTAAGCAAATATTCTTGACTACCGTGATAATAAAGTAACGGGCTGAACGAACTATGGATCGGAGTTCGATTCCCGACAGTTTTTATTCCTTTTCCAAAACGTTCAGACCTGATCTTTCTTTTATTTCTTATCCCATGTATACAGGTGGCCTCTCCAGTCCCCATGCTTCTTCATGGCGTGGTGTATAATTGATTAAGAACAATAACAACTTTACCATTTACATTACCTTTACCATAACTCAAGTCTAAACATATTCCCTGCGCCAGGTCGCCATGGCGCATAACACTGAGGAATATTGCCTATGAAGTCTACAGATCCCCCTCCCCCCACACATCCCTCCATTCATTCATAAGGAAAGAAAATTTGTCCCTGTGCTTAACTAAGTATGCACCATGCCATGAGGATGTACGTACAATCCCATTCTTGGACTGAAGTGCAGCACCTTACTTAGTAGAACATCTAAGTATCTCCTTGTTCCGTCAAGCAACACGTCCCAGGTTAGAAACATTGAGTTAACGAAGTCCTTACAGTCACGTACGACAAGCGAGGCTATTTAATCTCTGTTAAGGCAGTTTTCCCCAAGTGTGGTTGTTGAGGAAACGTGACACAATGAAATCTGTGGTATTTGTTTTTACCAATGATTTCTGAAACACTTTGTAGGGATATGAAATTCATGCCTGTAATTGTCATTTTAAATCATGAAAAGGTTTCAACATGGCGGCTTTGTGAAATTTTGCGCTGGAACTTTCGGTATCATTACGATATGTAGGATACTGAGATTCTTCATGGTGATTAACACTGAAATACGAATTATATGATAAGATTATGTCCGCTATCGCTTCCCTGACAGCCAGATCAGACAGGACCAGCATCTAGCAGCCCTGACCTCAGATGGTGGCTGAACTGACACACATTATTGAACCTTCCCCAAGGTGGTGTTTCCGTCTCTCTCGGGCATATCCCGAGGTGGGGACAGAAGTCCCGTTGTTTGACCCAACTTACTGTCCTCGACCAGACGTTTATCAGCACCCATCATCACACGTGAAGGTCGCCTGTTTATTTCGGACTTCTAGAGGCCTTGCGACGAGCTGTTCACTCGTCCAAGGAGTCCAACCGTCTGTAAAATGATCATGAAACTGAAAATCAGAGGCCAGGGCCCAAGAGAGCTGTAGAGTCAGCGGGGGGAAGAAAAAAAAACGCCAGCCTATCTTCGTTTGTTTATTAATATACGTTGATGTTGTGGACTTCTGTATACGAACATAATTGTTATTGGTCCGAGGTGGAGTTCTTTAGTGTTGTTTATTTCCACCAATTTGATACATCGCAATATGAAATTGGTATTTCGGTGTTTTATCATAATGTCACTTAATGTGTCACATTAAGTATCGAAAAATAATGCACAAATATCTGGGGGTAAAGAATAGTAGCTTAAAAAATCCTAAATTTAATCCTTGGTAATTTGAGTTTCTATTCACTAAAAGTTCGCCGACCCGGATGGCAAAGATTATTAAAACATAATGATGTTGGAGATCTTTCATTGTTGTATTTCAGATTCAAAACCAGCTGCGTTTCTTGTTGCCTTTCATATACTTCAACCCAGAACAAATAATGTAGGCTCCTCAAGTGGTTTTCATGCTTCAGAAAATACTGGTGTTATGCCTGGTACGTGTCTTCTAGACACTCGAGTTCAATTTCATAAAAACATGCACCTGTCACATCGACCCTTGTGTAACTTACCTACAGTAATGGGGATTTGCAAAATTCTGAGCATGGTAAAACTTCAGCCAATATATGCATCCAGTTTTCATTAAGTGTCCTCTCGTCATCCTCCTTTTCCCCTGCCCATTGTGAATTAAATCACATGGTCTGAATCCAGCCAGTGTTCTCAAAAATTCATTTCTGATGTTCACGTTCAATAACAACAAAAAACAAACTCCGTGGCCTGAAGTCCGCAAGCGAGCTATACCGACCGAGCGACCGCCGCTTATCGGCGAACTTAGTGCCAGTTTTAGCGGATAGAAGAGTGTCGCGTGGTCAGCGCAACGAATCCCCACGGCCGTTAATTTCGGTTTTCTAGACCTCAATTATCCTCACGAGGCCGAGTGGACATCGTTCCAGACCCACTACTTCTCAGAAAATCTGGTAGCGCCGGGAATCGAACCTGGGACCTCTGGTGATGTAGCCAGAAACTCTGGCCACTAGACCACAGAGGCGGTGTGATGTTCACCTTCTTTATGATTTATTGTAATATTACACTATTAACTCACCTCTAGGGGCCACACCATAGCTCAAGCGGTTAGTCGCTGGCTTCCCAGCGCGGCGACCCTGGTTCGATCCCGGGTCTGGTCAAGTGGGATTTGTGGTGGACAAAATGGCGCTGGGGCAGGTTTTCTCCGAGTACTTCGGTTTCCCCTGCCAATCTTCATTCCACAAATTGCTCCACAATCACCCTCACCTGTCATCTGGGGCTGGTACAACAGGCCAGAAGTGGCCGCAGTACAGGGACTTAGTCCCAGCCCACTAGCAATAAAAGAAACTCGCCTCTAACTAGTGCTGAGGTCAAGAAAACGTAGGTCTATACATCCACTCCACCATACGCCTTCATAGCTTAGTGCTTAATTAGTTAAGCACATGGACAACCTCACCTTATACCATAACCAATTATCTATATCCACATTTCCCAAGTGTTGTGTTCCCTTCTGATTTGTTGACTAAAATCATATGTGTAGTTCCCACAGATGTGAGTGGGTAGGTACATGGTGCATGATGCAACCATGTCTCTAGCAATGGGCCAATATACAATCATTATTTGTTAACAGAAGAATTATTGTGTACATTATGGTAACAGGTCATTTTGTATTGTTAGTGAATTAGTGACCAGGCATGCATCATACTCCTAATGCCTGATGTGTTGTATTAAAAGATCTTAATGTGTTTTCCAGTTTTCGTTTGCCATCAACTTTGAGAATAGAACAGCTATGAAGTGCACAGATTTTAAGATATAGCCATAAGACACCTGAAGATGAAGGCTGGCACTCACACCCATACACGACTATGGACTGTGTTACTTCGCCTATGAATAATGCTGATTCTTAGTCATTGCCAACATGCTCATGTAATATAACTATTATTTATATTCTAATTTCTTTTTTTTTACCTTGAATAAAAATATTAGTGACCAGCTGGTTTTAGTCCCTTATACAGATTCAGAACAACCATTGTGGTTATGCTATTGTGTTTAACTCAGTATTGTATTTCTTGCAGTATTTAATCACCTGAGGGGAAAAAAAGGACCAGATATTCCAATTTCAAGTTACAGTAAAAGCTTTTGTTTTTTAGATTTTTGGGGAGGGGGTGAATTAAAGTGATTTACCTCGTTTATAAATATTGAAATAAGTAGGAAGATGATATTGTCATAATTTATGTGACTGTAGATGGAGTGTGGATTGGTGAATGGATTTATTGACCACTTACACATCGAAAACTACAAGCAATTACAGCGCTATCACTGATCTACACACTTTTCAAATCATTACAGCGAGTGCTAAGCCTCAATCTTTTGTAGCTTTCATAGCCATTGCTTGGTAACAGCTCTCATCGAAGGAGATTCTTCAGCTTCTGTGCTCATGCCATTGCCAGCTGGCCAATACTACTCACAACTGTTTTAATTGCTCCAACTGCCCTGGTTATAACATCTCATCACGGACCACATAGAAAACACTCCGTTTCCAACAGTAACTTTATTTCTGCCTGCGTATTCGTTGCAGCGGGAACATGTTTCCCAAGTCATTTCCCAGATATGGTCACTGCTTCCAGAGTCGCCACTTAGTAATGGGTGTATATACCACAGTATATTCGTAAAGCATTGAATTGTAGGATTATTAATGCATGATGAATTGGAAAGGATATGGAAGGAAGTGATCATAGCCTATTTCAAGATTCTGGCCCAGAATTTATGTGGCGGGAGTGAGGAAAACCATTAAAGCCTTAGTCAGTGTAGCTGGTATGTGGGCAGCACTGGGAACATCTCAGATAAAATTCAGAAATATTACCACCTCATCCAACTACCTTGGTGAAACCCTTGCAATCAAAATATTATTGTTAATTTACCTAAAAATTAACCGCAAAATTGGCTTCTAGTTCCTGTTTCTGAATTCAACCAGACTTGCTGCAGAATGCTTGAGTGTTAAATGGTGAGAAGAAAGTTGGAAAAATATTTTATGAACAATGATTCATATTGTTGTGTGCTGTGTGTGTTGCAGTGGAAACATACCTGAGTCCAGTAGAAACGCACTGCAATAATATTGATTACTACTTGCCAGATGTGGACAGCGTCACAAAACAGTTCTCAGATGATGCCATGGCCAGATTACGTGAGTAGTTCACAATTCCATGTCAGATAAAGACAGATTTTGGAATCTTTATTGAAGTGCTGATTTATATATGACCTTTTGAACACTCAGATATTTGAGTGGGGCTTTTCATTTCTTTCATAAGCATAACGCAATACTGAAGAACACTATCTTCTGGGGTGTGATACCATAGTAGGAGTAACACTACTTTAGTACCAACCCTAAAGATGGAGGCATTATATACCTCTGAATTGTCACTAAACTTGTATTAGCCTACATGGCGTCACATTTTTCATTGTTACTGCGCTGAGAATCACAAGTCTCACTTTGCTCACATTATTATCTGGTTAATGTTAAGTTTTTACCATATTTAGTGATTCGGTTTCACTGTACTACTTTTCATGATGTAATTATCACCCTGATACATAACTTTAGGATATGTAATTTTCGTTGTGACTTGTAGACTGAATATCCTGATTGAGGATTTTTGTGGTTTTTCACAATCTCATTTCATCCAGGAATTTGCAAGGATGATGCCTTAAAAATGACTCGGTTGCCTTCTTAACAAATCTCCCCCCCCCAATTTTGTATTCATCATTATCCAGCAATTTATCACTTATGTAATATTCTGAAATTTTCACCCCAGAGTGGAGGCAGATTAAAATATCTTCACTCTAGCCCTGCAAGATGTAGAAGGAGATGAGAGGGGAACCCAGTACCTGGGGGTATAATTGGGTTACCCTGTCAGTGATAGACATAAATATAGAGACCTGATCCTCAAGGATAGTGGTTGGATGCAAGACTGATGACCTTGATCTGTTTAAAACAAATCGAAAACCAAATTATCTAATTCACGACACATAGCAAGGAATAGATTAATGTGACAGAATATACTAAGGAAGGGTATGACTAAAAAAAGGGCTGTTTTGTCAATGATGGTGATGATTCTGCAGTTGTCACAGCCATTTTAAACAATGTATTTTGAACTGTATCAATCTTGAAGGTTATATATGGTCAAATATTAAAATTGATAATTATGAAAGCCTAGAATTCAGAAAGAGTTCATGAAGCTCATTAAACTACTATCAGTTAAGTTTAAATAATTTGCGTTAAACTTAAATTGAACTCATTTGCCTATGAACTTTCCATTAAACCATTAATTCTTCATATTTGATCTCACTCTTTTTTGTGTGAAGTTTCTCTTTTGAAGAACATACTTCTGCTAGTTAATCTGAAATTTATTATATATGGTACATGACATAAAATGTTATATTCTTCGTGATTTTCCCATTGGAATAGATCCTTATTCCTCTCTTTCATAACCCTTCATTCTAGTTCCCTTCCTTCATACGTCTTTCTTCTTTCTTTGCCCTCAGTTTCTAACTACATACTTCACTTTTTATCTTGTTTCCATGTCATCCAGTTGGTGTAAAGTTAAGTACTTGTTTTGGTCAACTACCAATTCCTCCGTTTTTTGTATGTTCATAATACTGTAAAATGTTATTTCTTGTCCCCTTACACAATGTTTCCTTTTAAGTGAATTCCTTATTTCATTTTACACATATATAGAACTAAATAGGCTCTTCTTCCATGAGCGTTTATGGTGTACCTCTTTCTGTGCCACACATTTCTGTGGATCATCTTAGCAGATCATTAATTTAAATAACCCAGTTTCAAGATAGCCACATGACTGAGAAACAGTTCTCTGAGATTTGCCACAAACACACATGGAAAAGAAGCCTTGATATTTAGATATTTTGTTTCAATTCCGTGGGATTGAAACCAGCTGAATAAATAATTGCTGATTGTTACTAGTAATTAATAGTGTTTTGTCATAATCTGATTTGGCAGACATGGGTCGATCAATGATAGCTCTGTTCATCGTGGCATTTTTTGCTGTATTTGTGGCATTCTGGACGGGAGTTGCTGGATGTTGGCGTCGATCTCCTGGTAACATCACCTGTACGGCTATCCTTATGCTGCTGGCATGTAAGTAGCAACTGATTCACTGCAATTGTTCAGAAACATGTCAAAATTAATTTTATTTCTGTACTAGGCTTTTGTTTGATGTTCAGACGAAAGACAAATATGGTACCAAATTATGAAAAAGTCTACCCACATTGTTGTGGGAACATTGTTCAGTAACTTGTGATAGTTCTTGCAAATTTTATTGTTTAATATTTACATTCATCAAGTCTAGTGTGCATTTCGGAAAGCTACTGTAATATTACTTTGTCAAAAATGGGGATACTCTTCTCATTTAATATTTCATTAAGCAAGAATACAGTCCTTCTTTTAGCTTATTTTGGACTTCACCCATCATCTGGTATGTAAAAGACAAAAGCCCACGCTGTTTCGGAGACTGAATCTGTCTCCGTCTTCAGGTGGATAGGCAAGGATAAACCTACTCAGTTGGGCCTGTTAGAAAGAGCTAGTCTCAATCAGTGATCTTTTACATACCAGATGATGGGTGAAGTCCAAAATAAGCCAAAAGTAGTACAGTATACACCATCGTCAGAATCCTTTCAAGTCTATCCAAGATAACAGTTGTCAGTCATACAAGACTTATAACTTGTAAAATAAATTATGGTTAAGTTATGTTAGGCAGGATTAGCAGTAAGAATTAATATGCTGAAATGGTATATTGTATTTGATTGTGCAAGTTACCTGCATCATATGTATTTTCTTCTGGTTTTCAAAGGCTGAATGAGAATGTTAGTGTAATAACAATTGGTGATGTTGACCTATTAACATTTAACTGAACTGTTCTATCTGCAGCCAAGGATCAGAATAACAGTAAAATTACAGTTAATTTGTACTATTTTATTGTTGTTTTCAGGTCTGCTAAGTGCTGGAGGAATGGGTCTGTGGCATGGTGTGGAATATTATGAGAAAGAGAAGGTTGTTGGGGAGGAGTTCTACCAACAGTGGAATAATGTAAGTCAGAATCAGACATATGCATGGAAGTAAATATCTAAGCAAGTTATACCTCTTATTTTACCTGATTACAAGAATAATGCAGAATAGTTGTAGTGTTAATGTAAATATTTTGTAACAGTGAAATGTTCAAAGTGAAACTGAATTAGTACAAAATACATATCTTACAGTCTGATTAGGGGGGAGAGAGAACAGAAAATATTACAAGGGAGAGGAATACATTAGTTCATTATAGACCATAGATTAAAACAATGCAATTCTTAGAACTTTTGAAAGGAAATGAGGGTTTATGTTATATAGTAGGGCTTGCAAATTTTCATATGTCAGGATACTTCTCTGGGATTGAAGTCCCATGCTTTTATCATTAATTTGATTTGTATTTCATATGAAATTAAATTAAATTATATGATGATTATTTGTTTAATGTTACGATGTGAACAGATGACATCTAATTACTTGCAAGGAAGAAAGAATTCTGAGCACATGATGACTAAAACGTTTTAGGCCTATAGACATATTTTTCTTTAAGCACTGTGAACTCCTTAATGTCTAAGAGTATCGCCTTATGTCTGAACCTGATGTCTTTGCCTTGTTCCCAAAATAATGTGAAACATTTTAATTACCATTTATTAGCCTGTAAGATTCCATAATGCAGTATATATTCACTAATTTCATATATTTTACTTTGAATTAAAATAATTCAATTCAAAATTATGTTATGTTCTGTAATATATATTCACGTTCACACACACTCACGCACGCACATACATACCTAGATTTGTAATATATATATATATATGAGTGTGTCATGGAAATAATGTATCTTTATTTAACAAGTTTTAAGCTCAGAGGGTGACTATATCAGAGTAATGAGTTTTGAGTTGATGGCTGATGTATAGGTGCTGAAAGAAGAGACAGTGATGACTTATGACTGGTCCTTCTTCTTGGCATGGATCAGCGTTGGATTTTCTCTGATCTCAAGTACATTGTTCTTCTGTGCTGCTGCGTGCCTACACTCAGAGCGTGAGGCAGAGAAAGCGAAGAATGTGCAGTACATTATGCCAGGTCTGCACTACTGTTGGATTTGCCACATTTCAGGGGGACAAAAGCATGATGCTACACATTAGCTACTGCTATACAATCATACTGAATATTCCAGACATGGAGAGTAGACTGAATGAAAATATTAGGTTCATAATTCACCTTCTGTCATGCAAGAAAATCATTAAATCGTTTTTTTTTGTGAAGGGGTAAACATTTAATGATTTTTTGGTGTCACAAATGTATACCTGAGAGATAAGAAGATTCTGGTTCAAAAATAAATGGTTTGCTTAGGTAAAAAGAAATTCAAGGTTTAAGGAAATACATGATACACAACATATTTTATGAACTGAAGTGAACAAAGTATTAAAATTAAAAACAGAAAAATCTTTACTTCTCCACAACAGAGCCTCTCATTTACTAAATAAAGTTTTGTGGTTTTACAAAATATAATTTATTATGTTTATATAGATTATAAAGTCAATATAAGGAACTCGCACGTAACAAAGTTCAAGAATTTGGGCCCCCTAAGTTTCACTATATGTATAATTTACACTAAAGTTAAAATTAATATGGCTTATGAGGAAATTGTAAATACAGAATCCTATGACAGCAGTTCCTCTTCTCAGATATCTAGCACATTAATTATTTTTATTGCTTACAGTTGAGTCAGCAAGCAGTTTGTATAATCTGGTTTGCAGAATTATTGATGTGTCTTTCATTAGTTTAAAATGGATAAGGGATATGGCCATATATGTTCTTGAGATTTGTACATTCAAATTCATCTTTCCCCATCTCTGGATGTTCTTTATGGTTGTAATATATAATAGTCTTGAACATGAACTCCTGGTAACATATCTTCCAGTCTTGTCTGTCTCTTGTTCTAATGGATGCTGACAAAATATCTCAATTTTACTAATGACAATGTTCTGGCTAAGGACTTACAGATAATTAGAAAATCAACAGATTTCGTTGAAGATTGCTGTCTTCTGAGTTGTGACATCATGTAATTTGGTTTTGTATATTTCAAAGGAATATGCTCACTCCATCTTCAAGGTAGAAGATGGAGACAGCAATTCCCTCTGAACCCTTGGTACATATCTACCAAATTACATGATGTCACATCCCAGAAGGTGGCAATATTTGTGTTGTATTTGAGGTTTTCAGGGTGGTTGCTATGAAACATATGTATTCTGCGTTGCAATGCAACATGCTTCAGAGAAAGCCTGATATTCCTCAGGGTCAAAGAGTAAAATGAGCAAGAAACCAGCAGAAGTAGGCAGAAACCTGATTCATCAGTTTGACACCTACTTTTGCTGGTTTCTTGCTTGACCCTAAAAAATGGAGGTGATATGTTACATGTACTTTCTCCAAAGTACATAGTGTTAAAACCCTGAGTACAGTACTTTTCAGTAATATTCATGGTCACCACTGTTAAAACCCTGAGTTCAGTAATTTTCAGTAATATTCATGGTCACCACTGTGAAATCCTCAAATCTCAACAGATTTCTTTGCTTGATCAAATGAAGAACTTCTCATAATTTGGTATTAAAATTCTGATTTGAAGTTATACTACTTTCAAATCATACTCTGTGACCTGAAAACAAATTTGATTAACTGTATTTTACTGCTTCCAATTTAAGCGACTGTATAGGCTATTGGCATAAATATCAATAACTTGAGATATAACAAGACATTGTCAAGAAGCCCTGAAAATACTTTCTTTCAATGTCGTTGTATACCTAAAGGAAAATAGGAAATATGAGTATAAAGTATAAGTTGCTTAAGTGATCTTTTTCTATCCATGTATTCCAAATACTTAATGGTCTTCAAACATATTTTCACTGTGTTACTGCTGCATCAACCTGGGTTCAAAATTATAAATTCTGTTGCCTCACATATAACTGAACTTTTCTCCTTGGAAGAATTTAGCTTAGATTAGTTTAGTACCCTTATGATCACATATCACTCCATATAAAATTGGGTCAATATCAGCTGAAAGATTGACAAGTTTTACAGGGACATGCAGACATGACTAAGATGTGACAGTGACATGTTCAGTTGGTTCCATTTACTGGTGAACAACAGTGGAGCATGCAACATGATTCTCCCTCTGGAATGAAGCTAATCCATCTCCACAGTAACAAAATAATCTACATAACAATTTACACTGGCTTTGTTCTTTGTTTCCCTTCTTTTTATCTCCTTCCATTCCATTTAATTCCAAAACCCCTGCTTTTGCCTAACTCCATGCAACTCACAGGTTCTGAGGGAAAACTCAATCTTTTCTTATGATTGGTCATACATTGTGGCTTGGATTGGTGTTGGATGGGCACTTGTTTCTGCCATATTGTTCTCGGCAGCAGCCATTTGTCTGAGAGGTGAACGTGAGAAGGAAGAAGCAATGAACATGCAATATCTAATGCCTGGTAAGAATGCTTTAACAACACTGGTGTACTGTTATAATGCCCTGTTTCATATAATGTTCCAACAAGCATTAATCACAAATTAGATGCAAGACTCAAAATGTTCATATCTGTTGCAATAAAATGAAGTTAAAGTAATAAGAGAAATGATTTACTACATATTTAGAAACATTAATAAAGTACAACCATTATTTTATTTCTGTATAGAAGTTTCCAAAGTACTTCATTCCTCTGAATTTATGATCAGATGTGTGCATAAATTAAATAAAAATTGGCAGAGGAGACTGATGAACTTGGAGAAAACCTGCTCTAGCGCCACTTTTTCCATCACAAACCACACATGCATTGACCTGTGCTGAGAAGCTGGGGACTAACAAGGCTAATATTAAACTGGATCTTGAAGAAATAGGGTGTAAGATTGTGAACTAGATTTGACTAGCTGAGGGTAGAAACCAATGGAAAACCCTTATGAACACTAATTAACGTTTGAGTTTAATATAAGGCATAATTTCTTGCCTAGCTGAGCATCTATTAGCATATCAAAGACAGTGTTCCATGGTGTTAGTATGATTATGTCAATGGAACTGAGACTGGCTGGGCTTGATGTATATGTGATGAACACAAAAATTTTAAATTCAGCAAGATTAAAGAAGGCCAAGACAGAGATGAAAAGAAAAATCAGAATATTTTGGAGAAATGAGATGAGAGAATGTGATGGTGCAATAAAACTGTGGTCATGTTTGGCTGTGGTAATGAAAATTTGATTGCACAATAACAAGGAATTTTTTAATTACATAATAATTATCAGTATTCTAGAAAGGTCATGTACCAGGAACAAAGTCAGTCAGTCAAATAGATCAAAGTTAGTGTTTAGTCATCAGAATGGAACAGATCTTCACTGTGTGAAGAATAGTAAATAAGTAAAATAAAAAAGTAAAGGTATCCCTGTAACAGGCCGTGAAGGCCCATAGGGTTGTGAGATGTCCAGGCTCCCACATTTTCTAGACAATCGGCTCACAGATGGCAGTGAGGTTGTCAGCCTTATGTGCTGGCCACTCTTTACCCCCAGGAATATTCCTGGTACTCATTTCTGTTTTAGGCTGAGTCGACCCCAGTGCCATAGTGTGGCTGGAAGGATTAGGTAAATTAGAAAAATCCACCTCATCAGGATTCAGTCCCGTAACCATCTGGCTTGTAGCATAGTGCCTCAACCAACTATGCTACCACATGTCCTCTGTGAAGAATAGCACTTATGAAAACCTGTTTCATTTTGAAGACATGCTATATAAAATTCACTTTTCTTTTGATGAATTTCTCTATTGGATCATGTAAATTTTTTGTTTCAGTTTATCCTCAGAAGCAGCAGTATGCCTATGCAACAACAGGTTACCCTGCTCCAGCTGCTTACCCCGGGCCTTATTATCATGGCTCACAATATGGCCCATACAACTATTAGGTACAAGATACTCTAGGAAGAAGGTAATGCACTGAGACATAATTTGTTCACCACAGCTTATAATACTGATGGTGCTGTTGAATATTACATGACTTATTGAAACTTTTGCTGCAAACAGTGAGCCTGCACACATCTATTGATAATGCCACTAAATAGTGTTGAAACCTGTGGAAGTCTGATTCATCAAGACCCAGTTTCAAATGGAAATATTTTGGTTTTAAGAAAACTAGCCTTAACATTTTTCATGATGAATTTTTTATGTTAGATGTTGTCCTTGACTTTCATATCAAAGATTTTAATATTTTCTACGCCCATGAGTGATTTTTATACTAGTTTCTTGTTGTAGATAGGTTCTCCCTTTCCAAATTTGAGTTTTCTTGCTAATCATGACATAAACCATTCTATCCTCCTGTCAACACAGTACCTTAATACAGGCTATGACAGCTTCCTCATCAGTTCTTTTTTGTTCACTAAATGTATTCATTTTTTACATCAACCTATTCTAAATAACAACTGCAGTTGATAGAGTGTCATTAAATAATCAGTGATCTATTCTCCTTTGTCTGAAAATTAAAGGGAATTCTTGGGTTATACTTTAATTTCATATAAATGGTGTTCTAGAATAAATAGCATTGATTACAAATTAATATTCAACATGGCTGATGTGAGATGTTGGTTTTCAACTCTGTATTACATAAATTTCCTTGAGACACACTATAATTCAACATGGACTTCTCACATGTAAAGATGATACTGAAGTTATCCATGGGTCTCAATTTAGATGCTAATGAAGTCAATGTCAGTCTTTGCTACAAGTGTTCACTTAATCTGTATTTGCGGCTTGATCAGCACTTTAAAAGAAGAGATAAATATTTTTGCTTATCAGAAAGTATTAATTTAACACAATGGGCTCTTAAAACTTCACTTCTTACTTTTGGACATATCTTCAACATTATTTCCCACCAAAGAAAAATGATTTAACATCAGTGGACTTCTAACTCACACTTTGCTACTTTCAGACATGCATTCAGCAATTTCATTAGTCTTAATTATGTAAGATGCTACATATTGAATTGTTCTTCCTTAAATTTTAGTTTTACCACAGATTTTGAAGACAAATGTAATTAATTTAGGTAGTCAATCCATTGTACAAAGCTACAGTATACTGAGTACTTTTATGCCTTCTAAGTACCAAATTCATAAATTTTAAATTCACTGATTTATTTGTTGCTAGCTGTGCTTTGGCTTGTAAACTATCCCTTTTGCTTTTCCTACATAGTAATATTTTGCGTATCGGCCTCCTCCTTTCTTATTCCTCTCTTCCTTTTCCTCATTCTAGTATTCTTTCCATTTTATATGGGTCAAAGGACAAAAATACCTAGCTTCTTTATTTACATCCAACTGTCTTTCCTTTTCAGTTTCCTGCCAGCTCTTCTTCTCTTGTTCCATAATATTAGCCATTACTACACCAATTTAATTCTGTATATTTTCCTGCTTCACATAAAGCAAGAAAACAAATTTACATAATAATACAATTTTTCTCGTTACAGTAATTTAAAATATTACAGTTCATAAACTGTTATTACATACAAATTATCATGCTCTTGTTATATATTGTAACTTTACATATATTATTAGTAAGTTCTTGTTAGGCCTGAGCGAAGCATTACACCACTGTGTCCAGACAGGCTATGGAGAGCCCATACAGTCTTCTATCCAGTGGTTACTAAGGGCCCTTTCCCCATAGATATAGTGACTAAGCCTGAAGCGGTTCACTCATATCAGTTTAGTGTTAAGGTTAGAAATGCATGAAACTGTACCTCCACTCCCTCATATGTTTTAATTAAGTACAAGGACAACTTCATTCTCTATATTTACTTTAGTTTATGTGAGTGGTCTTAATTAAATGGTGATTCACTCAGGACAAACTGTGGGTGCTTACAGAATTCAGTATAAATTTAATTTAGATTTGTATTAGAGTTTCCAGTGTGGATTGTATTAAAATTTGGGTCATATGAATTTAAGACTCTTAAAATGCAGTGCTTAATTTCCAAGTCACTAGAACAACCTTTTCAGTGACAGCCAGCAATTTTTGTGTGTTCATGTCATGTGAGCAGGAATGGACATTGTGCTCTCTTAATATTTCAATGTGCCTTCATCCCATGTAGCTCAGACAAATTCATCTTCAAGCTCTTTGCTGTTCACTGTAATATCATGCCCAAAGATTAACATAAAAACTGAATATTGAAACATCTCTAACATTGATATATGATTAGAAATGACCAACTGTGTGTAATAGTGCTTGACAAATGATGGCTTTAAGTGAGTAAGATTCTAATATTTCTTGTAGGTGTTAACATGAATTGTAAGAAATAAGAGAATTACTTCTGAATGGATAGTTGTATTTATGAAAATAACAGCAGCATCACATGTTTACATTTTAGTTTTTAGAATTATCTCAGTTATTTTTGAACAAAAGTTTGTAACTGTGAAGAAATTTGTGACTTGTGGTCTGTAAAAAACATTGATGTATAGGATCCTGCAAATGAAGAACATATTGAAGTTGTATAAGGGGTGGGCTTTCTCAGCCCTTGTACCATGACCTACAGTGATCTATTGTGCTTCTATATTGAAGTTTTTGTTGAATAATGAGTGTGAGTACAGGAAGTAAGTTGAAATCATTTCACCATTTGTAATTAGGGTTTGGATGTTTAGATTTATATGTCCTTATAAAACTGGAAAAGCATGTCATATGCAAAGTTCACTCTTAGAAAACCCCATTTCATGACAGCTGTCAAAATAAATATAAAGGGCAATATTGGCATTCACAGGGCTTATATTAACACATGAAAGTTTTGTATGATCCACGACAATGTGAACACTGCTCCAACACTGCTTGCACCTAATCTTTATGGGCAATTTCATTATTTGTGCATTTATTATCTCTGTGCAAAAGGAGACAATTCTCACCCAGTTTATTTAATAAAAGAATATCCAGAAAAGTATTATTTAAAAATAAAAAAAATTACTTTAGATAAATGATAGTTGAACAAGTGTCGTATAATTTTACTACCAAAATATATTTTACCTTAAGGACCTAGGGTGCTTCTTTAGAGTGTGGTGTTCTGAGTTGTCATTGTGCAGCCTCATACTCTGAATTTAAGGCAGCAGATTTGTTTGAAATGCGATAATCATCTACAGAAATTTCAGTATCATAACTGGAAAGACCACAATGCAGATATTTACAACAGTGAAAACTTTGAATATTGTGTTACTGTACAGCATTTCTTTCTAATTTTAAGGCATTAAGTTTATGTGCATTTGCATTTTGTGTCAGAACATCCAGTCACTAGTTACAGTGTGACACTTAACTGGTATGTAATTGTATAAATTACATGCTTAAGCTCAAGAATATTTTAATAGTATTTAATTCTTTCTCCTAATTTTGTCTAATATTATATTGTTTCTTTCAAGACTTGCATGATGGGGCAGAAAGAGCCTAAATAATATTCTCCGTTTATAAAGATGTTAGAAATAGATTATAAGAGGTTTATAAAATATATGGCATTAAAGAATTTGACTTTTCTAGGTAATACCATACTTCTCTAGAGTATCTAGAAACTTGAATTTTCATTTCAGTTATTACTTTAAATTATTCTAAATTTGGCTGGTATTACAAATTCAAATTTTTCTTTAATGTGCTGTGTAGTTTTCTTGCATACAGAATATCTTAATACTAACAAATATATGCGGTTCCATCATTTTATATATTATTTTCAAAATTTCTGCCATATTCTGTGTGCATGTGTATTTCTAATCGTAAGTTGCTTATAAATTAAAACATATGCACAATTTTGCTTTTGTTTTTAAGAAAATATGCTGCATTGAAAAATAATTATTCTAGTTAAGAATAATGATTTGCATGATTTACACTTAAAAGTAAAAACTAAAACTTTGAATTCTAAAAAATATGTATTCTGTTTCATTTCATAAAGCAGCCAAGTCCAGACTTTTATTTTATACTGGAAATGTAACTCTGACATACAGACTGGAAGTAGCTGAACTTCTGTTATAATATATCAAATAAAATATAGTCATCTTCTGGCTATAAATGTAATTTTTATTTTTTCACTAAGAAATAGCCTTTTGGTGGTCAACCAACAATTAAGTATTGAAGAACGGCTTCCATGCCATTTCAACTCTTGACTGATATGATATCCCTAGACCTGTAGCAGTGTGACATGTAGAGAAAGATAATTTTTCTGACCCATTATGTTAAAATGTTATATTATGAAACTCAAAACAAACCTCTCCATAATGAGGACTCTTGTATTATAGATTATGAAGTATTGTAGACTGTACGATAGTGAAGGTTTATAGAAACAGAACAGTGTTTGGAATGAATGAAGACAGTCATTCTGAGATGTATCCTACCATATATTATTTACATTCTGTCACAAGCGTGAAAGGATTGAGCATATTAAGGAGAAAAAAGATGAGAACAATATTGAGATAATAAGAGATTAATCACAGAAGATCTGAAAGTAATGAAGGGTATCATCTTATGACCCTCAGAAACACTGTGAACTCTTTATATTGACTTTATAACACACTTTTAGTTATTTTTGTAAATTTAACAAAATACTGCCAGCATTAAAAGCAACAGTGAAAGGCAGAAAAATAGATAATTTTGTTATCAATTGTAATTTAAAATATACTGTGCTCTTTATCATTCCAGTGAAATAGCAGATCAAATAGGAATGTGAAGATCAAAATATGAACTTTCATTTATCAGTTCAGCTTTAGTAATCACTTCAAAAAATGGGGTATTATTTGCTTTCTGTATGTGTGATGTTGTCCTGAAAATGTTTATGTATTCAGTTCTTAACATTACAGAGACACCTGCTCAAACCTAGCTGCTTGTTGCTATTTAAAACTGAAGTCAGTGAAGATATTCTTCATCTCTGTATGTTGTGGTTTTATTTTGTAGCTCACCTCTCTTGTGCAGTGCTCATCAAAGTATTATTAAGGAGAGGTCTGAGTGTAATATAATGCAATATTATACAGTTTAAGTTTACATGGTTCATTCTCCACTATCCTTATATCAAGCAATTGTGAAAACCATACAGTTATCACTAGTCCAAAAATGAAACTTTGCTACCTGGAAACTATAATTCTCTATTCATTCATTCATCAGTAATCTGTCAGACGACAGGTCCACAGCCTCTTCCAAAACAGTTCCTCCACTTAATGCGATCTTAAATTTTCTCCTTCAATTAAAATATCCTCTTCTGTCCCCAAGGTCATCCAACATCATCTTCCGTCTTCTTCCTCTTCTGGGCACTTGTATCTTCTGGTTTGTTTTGTCTCCAAATNGATGTTGTCCTGAAAATGTTTATGTATTCAGTTCTTAACATTACAGAGACACCTGCTCAAACCTAGCTGCTTGTTGCTATTTAAAACTGAAGTCAGTGAAGATATTCTTCATCTCTGTATGTTGTGGTTTTATTTTGTAGCTCACCTCTCTTGTGCAGTGCTCATCAAAGTATTATTAAGGAGAGGTCTGAGTGTAATATAATGCAATATTATACAGTTTAAGTTTACATGGTTCATTCTCCACTATCCTTATATCAAGCAATTGTGAAAACCATACAGTTATCACTAGTCCAAAAATGAAACTTTGCTACCTGGAAACTATAATTCTCTATTAACAACATTTTAATGCAGCATCAGCATTTTCTCTAACTCTATATGAGAAGAGATGGTGTGTAATGGGCATATTTGTTGGTACACTGTTTAAGGATCTTTAGTTTTATCCCGGGCTGGGAGTACGGGCTGGGAGTACAGGTTGGTAGGGCGAGCGGTCCCTCGGGAGTCAAGTTTGGGTGTCTGTAAGCTGCTGCTGTGAGCCAACTAGTACAGTTAATGTACAAAGTAACACAGTTAATTTATTACCAGGTTTATACAGAGAGTAGAACTGCATTAGCAAGGGCAGTGGCCGACTTTCTAATGAGAGAGATGCACTGTCCCACACATGGGTACAGGTCGTC